ATTTGAGCCTTCTTCAGGTATATTTTTGCTCTTGAGTTGTCGCGCAAATGCCAAAAGCTTCACTGTACTGCGGTGCACTTTCATGAGCGTGAGCATCCGTCAAACTTGGGTTAACGCGCGCAATACCACGGAAACGCACGTAAAATCCTATTAATATATGACTATAAACAAAAAACACATAGCTTTTTCAACAGTCCCAGCCACCATAAGTGGTGGATCCATTCATAATGATCGCGTACAAGCTTGTTGATGCGCATCGTGCCACGCACTACATCTGCCACACTATCAAAAGTAAAGTTGCATCTACATTCTCCACTTTACAGCGAATATCTTTATTCTAATCATCCACCAATGCGTCCTATTCAGCATCTGTATATTATATTTGGCAAAAAACATGCGATGAAAATGGCATATTCTGGCTGTGTTTTAACGTCTCCAAATTTCGCATCAAAGAGTATGCAAATGGGTCCTTATTCTTTACGACATGCAGCATATTTTTGTTCGTATACATCCACGAGTGCCACAGTCCGTGCTACAGTGTCAAGTGTACTGGATGATCGTTGACCCACTGAGGATACTTGCAATTTCCGTAAAAATTATTTGAAGGCACCTGTACATTTTCGTGTAATTTCATTTGAAGGAACCTGCACATGGTTGAATAAGAATTTGAATCGTTGCAAAGTGACATCCACGATTTTGCGAGTCTTTGACTTCGTCTAAGTGTGCAAGCACAACGATGAGATTGCATAGACCGAGCGTTTTTGCGTGAAATGCACGGGAAGATCGTACGACACAGCATTCGCGAGGAAATTCCGTGGCACATCAGCTCCTCACTGCGTGTTTCCCACTTGTACCGACACCGACAGCAACACCCTCCATCCCACGCACGCGATAAAGGAGTTACATATACTACGCAAGACAACGAGGATGACTAAATTGTGAAAACAGAGTGTTGCTTTCATTCAAAAATAAGTTAACAGCGTCTGGCTCAAATTGTGGACCGGGTGTATGATAGCTCGCATCCTTAAAGTAGTTACCTGTTTGGAAGTCAGCACAAAAGCGTTTGAAATTCTCTTTTGTAGCCATCTCTTCCGTTGTTCGACTCAAAAATAGTTCTCGTTGACCAAATCGAAAGATAGCCAATTCAAAAGAATCATTCCTCGCCGTAAAATTTTGACCGGGGCTAATGTCGCGGCATCCATACTTTGTAGAAGCTGCGTAATACGCTCGACTATCGATAAATAAATTTGAACCAGGACAAAAGTGTGAGAAAATGCGATACGTAGTCGACCAAAGCATTACATCGGGTTGATCATTCGCAAGCGCCGTTATACCATTAACATTCTGTATACGATCTTCTTCATGAATCGGAAGTACGAGGATGGCATGTTGGCAAGGAATCAAGTAATGGTTTTGCTAGTAGTTTTCCTTTGAAAACTTGTGAAGTGCTCGCGATAATTCGTCCTGAGGCACCAATATTGCGTCTTTTGACTGAAAAGGATTGAGGTGGCAAAACGCTAG